TTTTTTGTCCATGTCTGGCCTGCGACCCATAATATACTCTAAAACACACATAGCTACAGTTAGCTTCAAAACAACCAAATCAATGTGTGTGAGATGTAAGGAGATTATATACTCCCACTAGTGCAAATGTGTAAAGCTGATATGGAGCTGCTGAGTTCTAAATATGTTCATTTAAAAGAGCTATGCTGAACTTTTATCAAATCAGATTTGTTATAGTGGGTTATTACTTTGACTAAACCAGGTCGAATTAAAAAGCGCATTCAATCAATCTGTTTAATTCCACCGGTCGTAGGGAATCATGTCTTGTGTGAACTCTATTATTCAAAAATAAATGTGTTTTCCAGTCTTTTCTGCTCCCACTGACACCGAGCCTGCTTCATAAACAGACACACACACACCACACACACACACACACACACACACACACACACACACACACACACACACACACACACACACACACACACACACACACACACACACACACACACACACACACACACGTTGACTCGCCGTGCATTGATTAGCTTTGACACTGCAGCAACTTTACTCTCACTGGCTCCTCTCCACCAGCAGACGTGGTTACTGGTCCTCTGACGTCATTTCTTCCTCCGTAGGTCTTATGTCTCCATCTTACTTTACGTTCCTCCTCCCTTGGGTCTTCATTTTAGTCCTTTGTGCATGATTGTATTTCTTCCCCTTCTCGTATTCTCTTCTCTCTCGTTGACCCTAATGTTTCCCTTTTTGTAATTGTCTTCCTTTCTACTTTCCTGTCCTCCTTTTTTCCCTATTCCCCTTCTCCTCAATGACCACACCAATCCTTCCCTCATCTAACACTGCAGGCTGCCGTTCGACTTTTGTGACAAGGGTCGAGTTCTACATCAGATATGGTGAAGTGTGTTCAACTGAGTGTGTGCGAGAGGGGGTTGGACACATGGGGGAATCGTGTCAAAGCATGATGAAACACATCTAGGGATGAATGCAAGTCCATTCATCTCGTTGTTCTCAGGCATCCATTCACAGAGGCTGATGGAGCGATAAAGGGGGAGATATGAATGGTCCAACTGTGAGAGGAAGGGGAATGGAGGAATGAGGAGATATGAATAAGAGATGGAAGGAGGGAGGAAACAGGGAAAGCTAAGGTGGAGGGGACAGAGATGGGGAGGAAGGGGACAAGTTCAGCAATACAGGAAAGAAGGAAATATGGATCAAAGGAAAGATGAAGAATGAAGAGGAAGAGGATAAATAAGGAGAAGCTGAGGTAGGAAAGAAAGTGGTGGAAAAGAAGGAATTAAGAAAAAAGGTGGAAATAAGTAAGATAGAAGGAAAATGATAGCAAGATGTTGAGAATGGAAGATAGCAACAATGCAACTGGATGTGAGGAGAGCAGAAGTCAGCTGGAAGGAATTAGGGGAGGAAATGTAAAAGAGCCAAACTAAAGGAAACAAAAGCAAGACAGTGAACAAGAAATGAAGGAGCAAGTGGGTAAAAAAGGAGGTAGTGAATGACTCTAGGGAAGAAGAAAGAAAGAGCCTAGGGAATTACGTAGAGATCAAAAGGTAATGTAAGTAAGGAAGACAAATATAACCATAAGGAAGGGAGGTAGGGAAAAAAGGGACAGATTCAAAAAGGAAATAAAGAAGAATGGAAGGGAGGGAAGATAAAAAAGGTGTAAGTAATATTTGTGACCAAGAGCTAATGGAAGTTATTTGGAAGAAGAGAATAAAGAGAGGAAAACGGAAAAGCAAGATAGAAATAAAGAGAAACATTTATAGTAAGTCATTAGGAACAGAATAAGAAACCATGGTTGCAAGGAGAGACACAAATGAGGAGGGAATAAGTGAGAAAGGAAGGAAGGAAGTTGAAAGGAAAAAGGAAGCTCAAACAAAGTCAGTAAACAAAGCAGAATCAAATCCAGCTGATTTCTGAAAAAACGACCCAAAATTAGGGCTGTGCAATTAATCGTATTTTAATCTCAATGTTGGCTTGCAACGATTACAAAAACAACGTAATCTAAATACATTTATTTATTTATTTTTATTTTTTAATATTGGTTTTTCAGTTGAATTAAACTTAAAGTTCAGGGTAAGGGCTACTGTTAAAATATATTGTTCAAAAAAATGTTTTCAATAAATGGATGTTTTCAAAGTAAATATCAATTATTGACCAAAATAATCGTGATTATGAGTTTTGCCATAATCGAGCAGCCCTACCCAAAATGTCTGAACTCATTTAGCCCCGGCAAAGCCTTTCCTTGAATATGATGTCACTCTCACACACACGCACGCGCACGCGCACACACACACACACACACACACACACACACACACACACACACACACACACACACACACACACACACACACACACACACACACACACACACACACACACACACACACACACACACACACACACACACACCACACACATGAAAGAGGGAGTGTGTTTCAACAACACTTGGGGATTATGTGATTGAAATAAAGTATTCAGACAGCTTAGTGTCACAATTAAATGTGTGTGAAGGGACAAAGATGGAGAGAGAGAGAGAGGCGTCTGCCTGCCTGTCGCTCTGCCTTGCCACCACCGCGCTGTGATGGATTGTGGGAAGTGATGCCACATGACAACTCTCTACTGTTGTGTTCAAACAGAGACGCTGCAGACCAGGTGGCAGGTTTCACAAAGGTATCCCCGCACAAAGTGGAGGGTTTGATGCCACCTTGCCTTTTATTCCCTCCCTCTTTTGTTGTCCCTCATGACTCCTTCCTCCTCCCCTCCTTGCCTTGCCTAATCACTCTGCCACCTCTTCATCAGTGCATGTCTATAGGTCCTGTTTGTGCATGTGAGAGTGTATTTCGGGCCTATGTGTGTAACTGTGAATAACACCAGAGTGAAAAACCGAACCTCCCCTCGAGTATTAATACAAGTTAAAAACGTAAGCGTAACATACCACATTTCTAGGGATTCCGGGCCATCACTTTACTCTCTCTCCACAAATTCTTGTCAAAAACTTGACTAGCCTAAATGAATTATTTATAATGATGACAGCTAGTACTGGATATGCTGTGGAGTTAATAGAGTTGTTTTATTCTGATGCTAGCTTGGTAGCTTTCAAAATATGAGCAAGTAGATTCAAGGTCTCATCAACAGTTAAAAAGCCCATCGTTAAGGTCAGGTGGTAAATGGACTGCATTTCCTGTTCTTGAGACCACTCAAAGTGCTTTGACATTAAAGCAAGCATTCACACATTCATACAGACAAAGTACAAGCTGCTTATCAGGGATCATCCCATTCCCAAACGTTAAACCACTTTTGATGCAACAATAATCTTGAGAGCTCTTGTCAATCTTTATCCGTGTTTACTTTCATTTTGTTCCACAAGGTCTTATCCACATTACCTTTGAAGAAACACTGTGGTAGATGACCTGACACTGTGGTAGATAGCCTCAAGAAAAGGTGAACTTAAGAGTGAATATGTGATGGGTCTCAGCCAGGAAGCCAGCGTCTTTATCCATCACCACTCTTCCAGCTTAAGTAACCTCTGCCTGGACCGAGCCAAACAGTCCTCAGAAGCAGCAGCATTAAATCTCTGTTGCCTCAGCAGTCGATGGCATCAAAATGGTGGTTGCAGGAACACAGTGTAGCCAAGATTTTTTTTTTCTACAACTACAAGGGGCACAAGGTCACATAAACATGTCCAAAATGTCTGTCAACATAGAATATTGAGTGTGGCATGGTCGCTGTCAGCTCATCCAGAGCCACGGCACAGTTGCTGGGCAAACTGGAGGGAAAAGAATGAAGTTTATATTGTGTTGCATGAGAGACGTCTCATGTGGTATCACAGTGTGATGCTTTTAGCAGAGCAGAGGGAGCAATCTCAGCAAGGGAGGAAAGCATCTCTACACACTCAACTAGTTGTCTCCTGCACTTAGGTGAGAACAACAAGAAAAATAAGTCCTTACGACTAATGTCACACTGACCAGCAGCTCTCACTCTGACATATACCTCCATTACAGCAGCCATACCTCAGCAGAACACTCACACAGGCTGCTGTGTAGGACATGTAGAGATAAACAGTGTGTGTACACGACATGACTGGAAATGCGAGCAAAACTGCAGCATCATCTTTGCGATAAGTGTTTTATTTCTCTATAAAGCTTTAAGGAGTGTGTGTGTGTGTGTGTGTGTGTGTGTGTGTGTGTGTGGTGTGTGTGTGTGTGTGTGCGTGCATGTGTGTGTGTGTGTGTGTGTGTGTGTGTGTGTTGTGGTGAAGGGGAGTGATCTTCAAACACACACACATAGACACACAAACACACAAACACACACACACACACTTGCTGGTACGCCAGCTGCTGATTTGCGCACACACATCACACTCACACTCACATTCACACACAGAGGACTGATCCAGGATCTGATAGCTAATAATACTGAAAGGGGGAGGTTTGGGGAGATGAGGAGGGAAGGGGGGTTGGGGTGTAGGAGAGATGTTAGTCCCCTCGGTAGCTGCTGGAGAGGGCATAACGCACATATGCGCAACAACCGGTTGGGAAATAGCTCTGAGGCGCGTGTATGCGGGTGTTCAGAAATGACACGTCTAAATCCCAGCTGCATATCATCTGTCTGTCACTGAGCTCAAGTTCACTGACTTCATGCGTGAGGAGGAAAGAAAGAATGAAAGACAGAAAGAGGAGTATTGGCACACCGGTGCGTACATGTGTGTGTGCGTGGAAAAAGACACCGGTGTGCACGCGCATCAATGACAGAGGGGTCAAAGCCTCGCGATCCGGCCGGCTGCGTCCTACCCGTGAGAGCGCGAGGATCCCGGAACTGCACATACTGTACATGCATATAAGCCCCCGGAGAAATGCAGCGCCCCGCAGCCGGGACGTGAAGGGCAAAGCCGGGGACAGTTGTCTGAGACAGGGGCACAACATGTTCACCTTCAGCCAGGGAGACACCACAGGGTCCAGAATAAGACATGAAAAGAATTGACTCACTGTTCTCAGGAGCCCGACACTCTTCTTCTTCTCTTTTTGCTCTCCGCGTCTGCTCTCCGTGCACCACAATCCATCCGTCCATCCCTCCGCTGGACATTTCCTGCGGCATAGAGTCTGATCGATTTTAATGTTGCGGGGTAATGTCCTCGGGATGAAACGAAAACATGTCTCACCCCCACTCCACACACTAAAATAAGCAGATAATGCCGCGCACACACAGTTACGACCTTTCCTTCCACTCGGCGAGGCTACATGTTGCTGACTGCTACCTCTGTGTCCCTCTCACTCACTCTCTCCTCTCCAGTTATTTTGTTAAAATTCAGTATGTACGCTCTGTCACCTAGCAACGTCTCTCTTCCTCCCTCCCTCTCTTCCTCCCTCCCTCTCTCCTCATCACTTCCTCGCGACACGTGTTGAATGCTAAACTAAGTTGCCCCGGTATGGGATGATTTCTTTCCATCTCCACCTGAAGAATTTCTTTTCCCTTTGTTTCGTTAATCATCTCGTTTAATCCCACTTGTCCTTCATCCTCACACATCTCTCCCTCTCCTCTGCTCACACAATTGTTCCCGTCACACCCTCCGTTGTCTGTGACAAATGTGACAGGACATGTCAACACTTGTGTCACCACAGGAAACGAGTAACACATGTATGAAAAAGGCAAAACCAGAAGAGAACATAACATCAAATCCACACGAGCACTGTAGGCGTATGTGCATTCAGACTTTGCTGAAATATTTGTCTTATGATTAATAATTAAATACATAATGATTACGATAGTTAATTAGTCGTATAACAAGCCTTGCTGAAACTGCAGCAAAAAAGGGTTTGCGTTCCTGGCAGCTCATTAACCTTACAGTATGCAACAAAAGCTTAATAAAATAAGGGAGCATTTGTAAAACCATGCATTCACACACACACACACACACACACACACACACACACACACACACACACACACACACACCACACACACACACACACACACACACACACACACACACACACACACACACACACACACCCTTGCAAACAATGCTGTCTCTTATAAGTGCTTACGATAAATGCTTCACAAGTTTGGCCGTGGTACATTAATCTGTTTAGAAGTTATTCAAATGTTTTGTTTTTGGCAAATGTGGCTGTCACGCCAAATGTGTGCCTTCTGGGGCAGAACCAGTGGACTTATAGTGTTATAGAGCTATTGGTCACAGATAGTAAACTCTTTTTCAACTATAATCACATTATTTAATGTATACTGACTTAACCCGGTAATCCTTTTTTTGACCTTTCAGATGTTATTTACATTACATTACATTTCACTTGTTAGACGCTTTTATCCAAAGTGACTTACATACTCAATACTGTGGACAATCCCCACAGGAGCCATTTGGGGTGAAGTGTCTTGCCCAGGGACACAACGACATGCTGACTGCAGTGGAACTCGAACTTGCTATCCCCTGATTCGAAGTTCAGCGCACTACTCACTGAGCCACAGCCTCCCTATGTTGTTGTAGGGAGCCTCTGGAGCAGAAATTAAAGAGTGTTTTTAGGTGGGAGAAGCATTTCTGTATTTCTACTCACATTGTCTGAATACATATATTGAACAACTAAGGGTTGATTTGCAGGATTGATTGCTTACTTAGCCCTGTATAAGATAGCATGAATAATAATCACACATCAGTCATATTTTTTATGAATAGTCATTTATTAAATATGAATACAATGGTAGTCCCAAAACAGTTCCTATCGTCGGAAAAGCACAGACGGACGTCACACTTGCTGCATTGTGTGTTTGTACCCTTTACTGGAAAATGTGCCATTAGGTCCTTGCGTACATCCAGTGGAGGTTGTGACCTCTTGGAAGAGGCCCCGTTTGGTGGAGGATGGTTGTTGGGTGTTTTTAGAGGAGTTGTGTTCACCTCATTAGAACAGAATCAATCAAGATACATGTCAAAAATACATTAGGATACAAGTCAAAAATATGACAGTCAAATATAAAACAAAATTACAAATGGCAAATGGCAGAAATAGATTCTTACCAGGATGAGAGAGGATGCTAGATCTGCCTGAAACTGTGTCCTGTTCAGGATCTCCTGCTTTGGCATCTTTGGAGCTTTGCACCCCCGCTTGTAGAGGAGCCAGGCGTTGATCACAGCAAGGATGATGGTGTGCCAGAAGATGTACACGACATGTACCAGCGTCGGGACTTCATGGGGAACTTGTATTTGGCCGTAAACGAGTCAAACAAATCCACACCTCCCATGTACTTGTTGTAAGTACCCACAATGTAAGGCCTCTCAACTTCTACTGTTGGCTTTGTCCCAGCGTTGAATGTTCTGCACAGGGCTGGCCCAGCAAAGGATGACACAAGTGTGACCGCTCTGCTGTCATAACCATTTGACTGCACAGATGTTGTGGTTGGCCCCCACTCGGATGTCAAAGCTTCCTCTCCCTTTTTTCTTCAAGCTCTTCTCCTCTTCCAGGTTACAGTTGGGTAAGCGCACCTGCCTGGCTGTTCCCACATAACGAATCCCACGATCAAGGAGCTTCACTACCAATGGGACACAAGTGAAGTAGTTGTCTGCGTAGATCTTGTTGTTCTGACCTTCTGGAAGCGTGGAGGCAAGCTTCATCACAACATCACCCGACAATCCAAGTGCAGACTTGGCTCGTATCCCATTGACTCTGCCTTGGTACACATCAAAGTCACAGATCATGCCAGAGATTCCAGTTCTCACCCACACTTTGAACCCTCATGGGTGTGGCTTGCCTCACATGTATTGCTTGATGCTACCGAATTTCCCCTTGAAAGGAATCATCATCTCTTTGCTGGTGGCATTCTGAAATGGAAAAAGTAATTAATAAATATGTATCAATAATACATAATGCTTATTATATTGTAATAGATTACCTGAAGGAATAGATAGGGTGGTGGGACAAGTGTTCATTCTTGCTGGCTTAGCCTATTATTATACTAAAAGGAATGCATGCACCACCCCCTTCCAGGTGTCCCGATGCAACAAGCATCTGAATCCTTACATTGTACACTTGAGTCACACAATACTACCTGGCTTAGCCTATTATCATAATAAAAGCAATACATACACCCATACATGCAGGTGAACCAGTTCAACAAGTCACACAATGCTGTCTGGCTAATGATAACAGTCTACTTATCATACTAAAAGGGATACATCTAAGTGTCCCAACACATTTCAGAAAGAACTGTTTCTGCCAAAATCAGAGAAGAGTTAAATGTATTTGTGTAACTAATTAACTGATAAGATACAAGTAGAGTTTACAATATTGCTACAGATATCTTCATTTCGCATACTTTTATCAGAAATAATGTATTAATTTATTCAATTCTGGTCTTAATTAAAAATGTTAACAGAGGACACATTTAGAACTTAGTTATAGTGAATTATCAAAGACATTATATTTCTATTAGTGTTTTATTTCCATATGTGAACATATAAGAAGGGCAATCTCCATGACAGGTGCTCATGCTATTTTGACTACCACACTGACCCAGTGTTGTAATATTACAACAAAGACATAAGCTGCTCAAAATCACATTTGATGAATGTATTCCACAATAACTAAATATGTACATTGTAATAATGTATATATAAAAATATTTGAGGCATTTTACTTACTTGAATCTGACAAATCCAGTCCAATAAAACAAAGAGATGTTGCTCATTTGAAGATTCGGAAGTTGTGTGAGTGTATGGCCAGAGGGCAGGACCTATAAACACATTTACTACCCAATAGCATTGTGAGGCTGAACAAAAGGACCTTTTGACTATGTAAATGTGGTCTTTAAAAAAACATTTACTGACTTTTTTAGGATAGCTTAAAGTCATGTTGTAAAATCACAACCGTGGGCCTTACAGGGTTAAGTCCTTTTGACTAATATGTTTTAATTAGTTTTTTATACATATTTGATATTGGGAAATATTTTACTTTAATCATCTGACAAATAATTTGAGCATCCTCTATGATTCATTCTTAAATATAAAGCGAGTATAAAAATAGTTTAAAAAGCTCCATCACGTCCCAATATAGATTCAATTTATATTCAAATAATAAAATAAAAGAGGCCATTAGTCCTTATTTTAAATGGTTGTACTTTTCTGATTAAAGGAGGTGTGAACTTCCTTTATCACTGGCTATGTGTATTAGGAAGAAGATGCACCAATGGTGTTGGAACTCAAATAAGGTTTAAAACAATTCCATATTCTTCATAAAAACATTTTCATTGGTATACCTAATTTTTTTCAAGGACAATACTTGCTTATACCACTAACTCAGAGGCATGAGTGTTGGAAAGAAGATCCCGCACACTGCTCATGCTCAGCATCATAACCACACTTAAGTGTCTGCCCCTCTGGGCCTTTGTCAACAATATTTAACACAATTTATACAACATTGATCTTCAATCAAAAATGCTCCTCCACACAATTATTCTCCTGAGGATTGATCCCAGAGTACCTGATGTAAAGATAGATGGATTGATCCCAAACTGGTATGCTCTAAGAACTTTTGGATATTAATGGCACACTCGAAATTAAATTTTGATGGTCTTATAAAATTGGCAAGGCCGATTCTCTGTGAAATGTCAGTAAATGATCTTGTTAATGTAATATGGTGTGTAGCTTATTGAAGTGACCTTCATTTAATCTTAAATGAGGAACTGAGTGTAGCAGATTACACACGTTTCTGTCAAATATTGAGAGACACTCCCATAGGGAATAATGTTCTCCCCAACTGTATAGACAGGTGGAGCATTACTTGGGAATAATGTTGTATGAATTGTGTTAAACACTCTTGAAAAAAGCCCAGAGCGACCAACACGTTAGTATAATCAATAAGGTGTGAACAAGCGAAGTCTGGAGGATCTTCTTTTCTCCCATCTTCATCATCTGTAAATTTTGATCGCGATTAGTATTTCTTGTATTATTTACATATCAACAAATAGCTGAAAACAGGGCTAATTTTATCAAATCACTACACAAAATTCACACAACCTAGCAGACAAAACTCCTTAATTAACAAAATAAAATCAACTTTTTCACGGTTCATACAAGCTGACAAAACAATTACACTCCGCTTTGCTAAATGTAAACACTTTAAAGTGGACATGTTATGCTTTTTGGGATGTTCCTTTTCCTGTAGTGTGTTATATGCATGTAAATGGTCTGCAAAGACTAAAATACCAAAGTTCACTCCAAAGGAAGTTTCTCTCCCACACAATGCCTGAAACGCCTCCATTGGAGTCCTTTGTTTACTTTACTGTAACATAGTGATATCTCTATGTAACACGCACACTTCTATTGGCTAGCGATCCAACACATTGTACATGATTGGCTAAAAGGTAGGA